AATTCCATCAGCTGGTGAATTATACTTGGCTATATAGCTTGGCTCCCCGATCAGCCAGAATTTTCGATTCGAATAACCTGTTATCTGCTATTGAGGGTCCACTTTGTTCGCCATCTCACACTTCTTTTGACAGGGTATATTGCCCAGCTTCACGAAGCACTCAGCTGTCAAACCCTTCTACAATTGTTACTGACTTGCGCAAGCCCTCTGTCGGCCCAGTTTAAATTGGCACAGTGAATCCAGCTCTTTGCACATCAGTATTGGCCTTTTGGATACTGTGGCTTTTTGATGTAGTGGTTTGTCCATCTTTTCCAGCAAGCCACCACCCTGGAGGCGTTGTCACCTGGACCCTGCCGACCTCAGCCCCCTGTCGCTCGGTGCAAACCCCAAATATCCATCAACATGTACCGTTTCCGTTCTGGCAATCAAACGCGCAGAATTGATGTCAGCCTCAGCCGCCATCCACAGTCGATATATTCATTGTGCTGAGACATGGCTCAGTGAACGCGGTAGGCGATGTGGTGGAGTGAATAGGCTCTAGCCACCTAGCACGCATGGTGCGGGCTGACTGCTCGAAACACCCTAGTATACTACCAAGTCGGCTGTGACGAGCTGTGTACACGACTCAGCTTACGTATGGGGACTACGACTCTATCTACAAGATGAACAAAGTTGGATCATACATTTTACTGTACACACCCACAGCATACGCGTTCCGGCCAAGCCGGCTCGAGTCGGAACATCGTGAGACCCTCTGAACATCCTCAGATGCGTTCACGCGCTCAGAGTATCAGCAGCTTGTGGCTGGTGTTCTTCCCAGGGTCAAGGCGCTGGATGACAGGTCATTGGATATGAGGAGTGACAATACGCATGACTCCCTTGGCATCACACAGCCCTTCATGGGATGGCTGTGGTCAAAGCGCAATTAGATCTAAGCGAATGCTTGCAGCATGATCTGCATCACCCTCCGACGGACACTTGATCGACCTCGCTCTCTTTCCCAGACAAAACCCCACTTGGATTCTGATACGGGCATTGCAGAAAAAAGGCCGAGCTTGACAATCTATCCGTCATTTGGAAATGGCTGGCATCTATCCGTTCCTCCATTCACCGCCTTTCACCGCTTTTTCCAGACACCGTTATCCGATCATCATAAGACGCTTGCGGGCACTATCGTGAGTCGCAACTACACTTTTCCTAGCTTAGAAATTTGGGCAAGGATGTCTTGCATAGCCGACAAGAACCCTTACAAAACACCATGCCTGCGGATCTGTTACCTCCCCCTCTCTCAGCACGCTCATACCATAGCATATCTTGCCGGGCCCATCTCGGCTCTACATTGGGCGTCCTTCCACCACTTCGGTCAGACGGTGACGTCGTGTTCAAGAATCCGACGGGCGCTATACCCACAGATCATCGCAATACCCAGAAACAAGGCTGCCACCGCTTCGTTGGGGGAAGTGCTAATTGTCCTCGCCACAATAGACTAATCGTCCTCGCCCTTCCTAATAGGGAAGCGCCAAGGGGTAATCGCCCGAGTACTCCATCTTGGCGTTGTATGTAATTTTCTATGATACAAGGAGATACAATACCTACCTAATTCGCTTTGCGGCTGTTGCTAGCGGTAAAGTCGCGGCTTTCGCTAGCAAACCTAGGGTAGGAGTGAAGGATATACCACGTGATTATATTAACTATATAGCTATATTTTAGCCCTTATACTTAAAAGTTTACAACACGTAATACAACGCCTAGGTTAGCTGCAAGCTACTATAGTACTCTAGCTCTAGCGGAGTACTAGCAATAGTATAGGGATTTAGCGTACGAGCTAGTTACTACAGAGCAAGTAGTTAAGCTAGTAACGGGTGCTTAATATATTAGGATGTTATAGACTAGCCCTAAGGGAGAATACAATAAGCGTTAATAATAGTATTTAGTATCTTAAAGGAGAGATAAGCCCTCTACGCCTTTTTATAGGTGTCTAGTGTGTTCGCTTAGTAGTAGTGTTAGACTTAGTCTATCTTGTGTTAGACTAAGGCTTAGGTATAAGCCTAAGCCCTTTATATACCCCTAACCTTCCCCTATAACCTATTATAAAATTATTTTTCTAGGGGTTTAGGGTTATATCTTTGTCCTCTATAATCTATATTAGGCTTTATTACTATATTTTTTAGTTTTATTATTATATCTTTATATTCCTTCCTAATTTATAATAGGCCTATATATTAAGTAGTACACGCGCGTAGCGTCTATATACTTATTTTAGCACCCTACTATAAAAGTTCTAACATAGCTATCCTACCCTACTATAAATTTCCTAACTTACTTATTATATAATAGATTCTCCCTACTAATTAGCCCTCTCTCTACTCTCTTTCTATTAATCCTGCCTATCTAGCCCCTATTATATTATTGTCTGCTACTACTAGTGCTAGTAGTAGGGATCTACTATAAGGTAGTTAGACCCTACGCTAGGCCTACTAGGATAAAGTACGTACTTCTAATATTCTCCCTATATTTTCTGCACTAACTTTTTATTTAGTATATATCTCCTTAAACCTAGTTACTTAGTAGCTTTATTATTTCTAGTAACTTAGATAATAAAGAATATAATAGTAGCTTTATAAAGCTACTTCCCTATAATTAGTATATTAACTAGCTTTATCTTTTTAGCAAGTGTAACTATTAGGAAGGTAGTAGTAAGTTCCCCTTAATTTTTATTTTCTTTATAGTAAGTTCTAACTATATCTAGGGCGCTTATACAAGTCCTACTATTATAGCTATAAGACCTATACTTAATTAGAAGCTATCCTTACTAATAATCCTAACGTTTGCTAAGCCCTCTATAACTAGCTTTAGTTTTATTATAGTTACTAGGAGGATTGCCTCTATATTATAAAGAAGGGGACCCTTAGTACCTTTATAGGGAAACCTACTAAAGGCACCTATTACTAGTTTATACTATAGTTCTACTAGCTCTACTACTATTTTAAGGATCTTATATTAAGGGCTTAAACTAATAATACTATTACTCTACTTGCCCCTACTACCTACTTACGCGCCTATAATTAGTATTAGCTTAGTGCTATTATTCTATCTACTACTAGTGCTCTAGTATTTCTACTTTAGTCTACTATTACGCCTTTATATAGTAGTTGTAGTAATAATAATATTATATAGCTTGCTACTACTACTAGTATTACCTTCTAGCGTATTAACTAGCGTATAAACAAGACCTAGGCCTAAACTAACCTTTATATTAATAAGCTTAAGAGTACTGCTAAGCGTACTGCCTGTAGTATTAAGACTCTTATTATTAGTATTAATTTTCCTTTATTCCCTTTATATATATTCTAATATTTACTTTCTTTTAGGCCTAGGGTGCTATATATTAGTAGACTATTAAAGCACTACCCTTCTCTTACTACTACTACTACTATTACTTATACTCCTTAACTAAGTCCTCCCCTACCTACGCTACACGTAAGCGTTACTACTATTACTAAGAGATATAGAGGCGTTAAAATAATATAAATAATAGTTTAGGGGGAGCTAGGGGGGGGGTTAGTTATAGATAGTAATAGTATAGATACTACTACCTAATTATTAGCTACCTTATAAAACTTTAATAGTAGGGCACTTACTTAGAGTATTATTAGGATAAATAAAAGATATCTCTAATACCTTTCTACTTCTTAATTATAATAAAGGTCTAAGTTATTATTCTAGTTTTCTTCTATACTTACTTTCTAGCTTTTATACGTATTAGGCTATTATTATACGTAATATCCCTATACTATTCCTTAAACCTATCTAGAGCCTTAGTATCCTATACTACCTCTAGTAGGTGCTATATTAGATTAATATACCCCTTCTATTTTACTAGGACTTAACGCTTCCCTTTTCCTCTTGTATTCTTTATATAAAGGATCTTTTCTACTTCCTATTTATCTAGTATTATATCTTTATTTTCTAGAGTAACTATAGGGCCTAGTTATAAGTCCTAAAGCTTCTAGCTTAGTAGCAGATTATTAGTAGCCCTCTCTAGTAGATCTATATATATAGTCTTATATAAGTTCCCTAGTAAGTCTAATACTACTATAAGTAGAGTAGGGACTTCTATTACTTTATACTTTACCTATAGCTAGTTAAACTTTTTACTTAGTTAGTTTATCTTTATATTACGTATTATAAACTAAACTATATTACCTTTTAGGAACTTTTTAGCTAGGTATTAGGACTAGTTTATTACTTCCTATTATTACTACTATTAGAATATAATAGCTACTTGCGCTAGCTCTATACCCCTCTATAGGTGTAATAAGAACGCTACAGCCTCTCTATAAGGATTCTTAGGCTTTACTAGTAGTAATATTAGCTTTTATAGAGTGTCTATAGTATACCTATTTAAAAGAAGATTTAGGCTAATACTAGTTATACTAGAGTCCCTATTATTAAGTGTAAGTTAGCAGGCTAGCAGGTAGTTAGGCTAGTTAGTCTGCTTAAAGCATACTATTATGCGCAGCACTACCTGCACTTCTTAGTTTGCCTACTCTGTCCTGCTGTCTGTCTAAGGGTAGTATGCAGTAGATAGTAACTAGTTTATCTTTATTATCTAGTATAATATTATCTAGAAAGATCCTAACTAGTTAGAGCCTTAGTTAGTAATAATAGAGGATAGGAAGCCCTAGAACTGCTACTAGTTATCCTAGAAGATCCTTGCACAATAATTAGCTACTATAGAGACTATTACTTTAAGCTAAACGTATTTAGACAATCTATTAGTAATAACTAATAGGAACTAAGGTTTGCTATTATCTTTTATAGGTAGGTTAACTATAAAGTCTATAGATATTTAGGACTAGTATTATAACGTAACTAGTATAGGTTATAATAGACCCTATTAGCGCTTCTAGGAGATATAAGCACTATAATAATAGCAGTTCTAGATATACTATATAATATCTCCTAATATTCTATCCTAATAATAGTTATAGCGTAGTATTTAAAATATTATATTCTTTCCTAGATATCCTACTAAACCTAATTTATATACTTGCTATATAATAGTAGTTATAAGGGGTTCCTATATTAGCAACTAAATAACACCCCTCTAAAGCAAAGTACTATATACGCTAATTATATAGTCCCTAATCTATTACTTTATATTAGCTAGAACTAGGAAAGACCTAGCGCCTTTCTAAACTATATTAAGACGCACTTAGTATATCTTATCTTCTAATACTACTTTGTCCTATAGTATCTATATATATAGGTTAGTAAAAAGGCTAGCGCCCTTTAGTAACTTAAACGCCTCCTCTACTTCTAATACTGCAACCTAAATTAATTTAGGGCGTATTACTAACTATAGTGTTGCTTTAGGGGAGTTTAAATCTTATAGTTACCTACTTAAGGTATTAGGTTATCCTACAAGATAGCTAGGTCTATACTATAGGATATATTAATATTTTAAAAGTTCCTCTACCTAGTAGTACTATTACTTACTTAAGCTTTAAAGGCTAGTAAAGTACTCTAGGTTTTTATAGTCTGTGAATATTATAAATAGTTTGTAAACGCTCTATAACTCTACTAACTAGCTTTTAAGACACTTAATAATAGCTAGCAATTCCTTATTATATATAGTATAGTTTTATCTTTCTAGTATTAGAGCTATAGAGTAGTAAGTAACTAGGCGCTAGACGCCCCTAACCTTTTATAATAAGTAACCCCTAAGAGCGTATCCTAAATAGTCTGCTTCTAATAATATTTCTTTAGCTAGGTCCTATTATATTAGTACTAGTCTAGATATAAATACCTTTTTTAGTGTATTAAATGTACTCTATTCTTCCTCTCCCTATTAGAATAGGGTGTCCTTCTTAGTTAGTTAGTTTAAAGGCGCTGCTACTTTAGAAAACTTCGCGATAAAATTGTAGTAGAAGTTAGTAAAACCTAGAAAACTCCTTACCTCTCTTATATTCCTAGGGGATTCCTATTCCTATACTACTCTAAGCTTTTTAGGGTTAGGTTTAAGTAATTTACCTACCTTAATAATATAGCCTAGGTAGCGTACCTCCTTAATACTAAACGTATACTTCTCTAAGTCTAGGTGTAGTCCTACTTCTTTTAATAGTATAAGTATATACTTTACTTTTTCTATATAGTTAAACTAGTCTCCTCTTAAATAAATTAGGATATTATTAAGGTAGGCTATTATATATAATCTAAGTAACTTTATAAGTATAGTATTAATATATTATTAGAAAGTAGATAGCGCACTACTAAGACTAAATAGATATACTAACTATTTATATAACCTAAACTAGCTATAGAAAGCTATTAAGGACTTATAACCTTCTACTATTCTAACTTTATAAAAGGTAGTATAAATATCCACTTTTATAAACTAATTTACGCTAGATAGTATATGCAAAGTTTCCTTAATAAGTAGTAGTAGGTATTAGTCTAATATTATTATACTATTAAGTATCTAGTAATCTATATAAAGGCGCTAACCGCCTAATAGCTTCTTTACTAGTAATACTAGAGCTCTAGCTACAGAAGAGCTTGCTTAGATCTAGCCCTTATCTATTAATCTAGTAAGTTATATTCTTAGTTCTAGCAATTAATCACG